TGAATGAGTCGTTACTCTTAATCAGATTTTAATGTATTATAAATATTTCATTACCGAAAAAAAGTAAAAATATGCAATAACTCTTGTTGACTGTCTGGAAGATTTAGCTGCTGTGGGCATATGTTTCGTTGCCTGGCAACCAACCTATCTTTTTTGGTATTTGATTTCAAATTTGGACCTTTGACGTTTTTTGTGCCGACGGCTTGGAAATAATCAAAATATGCCGCCGTTTTGTGAATTCGTCTCCTATTTCCTTCCAAGAATGGAAACATTTAATCTGCTATTTCCAGTTTTTTGAAAATTACTTCATTGACATCTCATCCCAGAAGTAAAATCGAACATGACAACTTCTTTAATATTATCACGATTTTCATGAAACTTGGCATGTAAGTAGACCTGGTTGATCGAACTGCATTGATGTCTTTAGAAATGTTCTAACTTATTGCCCCTTGGAGAAATAAAGGATCAAAGTTTTAAAAAAAAGAAAAAAAAGTAGGTCAGATTGCCTTGATAATGTATTTCTGTATTAGCTAAGACACTACTGATGCGTACACATAATATGGAGTTTATTGATTGAACCGATCGTGCAACCATCTTAAAAGGTGAAAAAGGCTTTTGCGATATTTTACTTGCAGACATTTAAATTACATTTTCTGAATCCTTAAAGGAATGCCTAAAAAATGTTCAGAACAGAATTTGATTTTGGTCAACTGATGGTCACCTTTTTGAATTGAATATGAAAAAAGTGAAAAATCCACGTTAACGGGCATGAAAATAAACACAATATGCCATGGTTTGGATAATTCATCTCATGTTTCCGAAATGAATACATTACTGGATAGCCTGAATCAGGGTCGAATTTGGAGTATTTCAAAATTTAAAATTTCGCCTTTGACCTTTTTCATGCCCACCATTTTTTTTAGTTCTTTCCCACCATTTTCATTTTATTTTCTGATTCGTCCCATTTTTAAACGGCTTGATTGATTTTTCTGAAACTTCTGGAATGGGAAGTCAATGCAATTACAGCAATACAAGTTATTTCTCCTTGTTTTTCAGATTATTTTTTTTGCTACGGTGGAATGTTTCTCTCTATATTTAGGCTTATAACTTCGCAAGTTTTTGACCGCTTTTAATAATTATTTTTTCTTGTTGAGATTCTTTATATAACCCATGACATGTGACGGGAAGTGACCGTGAATATGAAAGCTTTCATATCTGTCTAGCAGATCAGTTATTATTATTATTATTATTAAGAATTTTTTATATTACACTATTTTCACAGAGTGCTCAAAAACATTTTACTAAAAACAAATGGTAAAAAACTCTACATAAAGGCAGGAGTTAAAAGGTCACAGATGTTTAAAGTAAAAACACCACAAGTGTTAAAAGTAAAAAGGTCACAAGTGTTGTAAAAAGGTCACAAATGTTAAGTAAAATGTAAATTGATACTAAACAATTGTTAATAAATAGGATACAGTTATAAAATGACACAAGCTTCTTTAAACAAATAAGTTTTAAAATTGATTTTGAAATTTGATGATGTATGGCTACAAAAACTATAATATTCTTTTTTATTTTATTCCAATTTAGTAGCACTCATTTATAGCATTAATCTTTGGTTTATTTGACTGAATTTATAGTATTCAGTTATCAACAAGAATCAGGGGCGGATTGGGGCGGGGAACCGGCCCGGGCTCCCATGTCTGAGCGGTCCCTTTTACTGACCATGGAGCCTGTACTGGGGGTCAGGGGGCTCTTCCCCGTGAAAATTTTGAAAAATAAACCCCAAATATGCGATTTGGTGGCATATCTGATTATAATCTCTGTCAAATAATAAATCTCATAAATCAATTAATTTAGGCCAAAACCCCAACCTGCAAGTACTTTACAACCATCAACCTGTGAAATTATCATATGGTCATATTATTAATTAATGATAGTATAAATTCTGAGACAATACTTAGCTATACACAAACAGCCTCTGAAGACCGTGATGCCTGCATGGGGACGGGGACTGAGATAACGTTTTTTTGCGCTGGGTCAAGGCTGTATAAAAGGTGGCCTTGACGAAGTGGGAGCGGACATGCATAGGTGTACGGGACACAATTCATTTTTATATGCCCACATTGAAATATGGACGTATATTGCCGTCGCCCCCGTCTGTCCGTCCGTCCATCGTCCACAATTTCTTGTGAACGCTCTAACGCAAAAAGTTATTATCCAATTGTTTTAAAATTGATATATGTTGTTTACATTAGTGAGATGAAGAATCCTATTTAATTTCAACAATTTCTGTTTATTACGTCTAGAGTTATGGCCCTTGTTTCACTTTGTTGAACCTTGTGAACGCTGTAACGCCAAAAGTTATCATCCGATCTTTCTGAAATTTATATGCATTATTTAGATTACTGAAACGAAGAAGCCTATTGAATTTCAACAATTTCTGTTTATTATGTCTAGAGTTATGGCCCTTGTTTCACTTTATTGAACGTTGTGAACTCTCTAACTCCCAAAGTTATCATCCAATCTTTCTGAAATTTACATGCATTATTTAAACTGGTGAAACGAAGAAACCTATTGAATTTCAGCAATTTCCGTTTATGGCCCTTGTTTCACTTTATTGAACCTTGTGAACGCTCCAATGTCAAAAGTTATCATCCGATCTTTCTGAAATTTATATGCATTATTTAGGTTAGTGAAACGAAGAAGCCAATTGAATTTCAGCAATTTCAGTTTATTACGTCTAGAGTTATGGTCCTTGTTTCACTTTATTGATCCTTGTGAACGCTACAACGCCAAAAGTTATCATTCGATCTTTGTTAAATTTATATGCATTATTTAGATTAGTGAAACGGAGAAGCCTATTGAATTTCAGCCATTTCCGTTTATTACGTCTAGAGTTATGGCCCTTGTTTCACTTTATTGATCCTTGTGACTGCTCTAACACAAAACGTTATATCCCGATCTTTGTGAAATTTATATGCATGATTTAAATTAGCGAAACAAAAAAGCCTATTGAATTTCAGCAATTTACATTAATTACTTCTAGAGTTATTGTCCTTGTTTCACTTTGTTTAACCTTGATAATGCTCGATTGATGATAGTTATCATCAGATATGTATGAAATTTATATGCATCATTTAAATTTGTGAAACAGGTCTATTGAATATCAGCAATTTCCGTCAATAATTTCTAGATTATTTGAACGTTTGAATGACAAAAGTGATCATGTGATCTTTATGAAATTTATATGCATTATTTAAATTAGTAAAACGAAAAAGCCTGTCAAATTTCAACAATTTCTGTAGATTACTTCCAGAGTTGAGACCCTTTTTTCAGTTTGTAGAACCTTGTAAACCCTCAAACGACAAAATTTATAATCTGATCTGTATGGAACTGTCTTGTAAAGACCCCCAATTACGTACAAAGGAATAAATATGCGACAACCCTTGACGACCGCTCGGACGATTTAGCTGCTGTGGGCGTATGTTTTGTTGCCTGGCAACCTATCTTTGAATTTCCCGCAATTTGAGACCATTCCCGACATCCCAATTCTGTAATTTCATCTCTGAAAATAACGAGTTAATAAAAATGTCAAGGAATGTATAACACCAGCCTCAGGAAATCGTCTCACACTCATATTCAGCCAGCAGACCAGCTATCATCAAATTTTGCTGAGGCCTTAAAATTGAATTTTTTTTAGAGTTACGAACCATCGGCAGACGTTTCTGGCGTATCCCCACAAACAGGGTGCAGGCGACTTAATAATTAGTAAATTTGCAGGCGACAGTGTCGGGTGAATCCGATGAAATTTTCGGATGAAATTCGGAATCCCCATTGCAGGATTCCGAATTTCGGCCCACACCCAGTCTATTATACCAGCCCATTCAAAACTCCAGTGATGGCGTGGTAGCCCGTTAAAGCCACCGGCCACATACAACATGATCATCATTGCTCCATGGCCAGTCCAATACCCCCCCCCCCCCCATATAATGTTCAGCAGAAAAAAGGTTTTTTAGACGAATTGGACAAAATTATCTTTTTCATTTTTTGTCTGACCGGCCCAATCCACCCCTGACAAGAATATAAGAGAAATCAATATTATTTTATAATCTTTATAAAAAAAATATTGTATACATTATTGGGATTGAACATATGAAGTAATTTCAATAATTTCTCTAATAAAAAATCCTTTGACATAAAAGTTTGTTATTTCCTCCATTTTTTTACGACATTTTAATGTTCAGCTATCATCCACATACTGGTAATAGACATCACAGTTTTCTTTATTATCATTATAAGAAATGTTATACTGTATTGGATTTCCTTTTAATACAAAAGCTCGTGCTTACCCTTAGGAGATACAGATATTGAAAATTCTAATTTTAGACAAGTTTGAAGAATAATAATTGACTGTTCCATGTTTCTCAACCTTTCAGTAAACTGAAGTAAAAGTGGTCACCAGGGTTGGAAACTTTCTCACTGTCAACATCTTTATCATTTCAGTTGTTTATAACACCTAACTTCAGTGGCTAAATTTATGCTATAGATCCATCTGTCTTATCCTTGATTGATTTTGCGGGGATCACGTGGCTAAGTGGGTAAGACGCTAGCTTGCTAGCCTGGAGGTCGGATGTTCGATCCCTGCATTGGCCGAGAAAGTTCATCCAGATTTTCCGGCGTGGTTCTCCCTTGTCAGTGATGCAGGACGGAGGGGCTGACAAGGAAAGCTGTCTAGTCGTTCGGATGGGACGAAAAACCGAGGTCCCGTGTACACATTGGCGTGCACGTAAAAGATCCCTTGGCAGTTGGAATTCGATATAAGAGTAGGCCGTAGTGCCGCTGTCCGGGCAAAATTTCCCTCATAGCACACTGAATGGCGTATGCCCGTCTTCATTAGCCCAGGTTAGGAGCAGAACAGTAGGACGTTAAACTCCATTTCATTTCATTTCATTTGATTGATTTTGCATTCTTTTTAAATGTTTTTCTTTTAATGCTAGATAATTGGAAGATGTGTTAGAGAGAGATTATTAGATAGTAAATATATAGAAAGTATGATAGGACAAGATGTACAAGAAGAAACCTATAAATTACTTACTGTCTTAGCTGACTGTATCTACAGTGTTCTTATATATGGTAGAGGTTAGTTAACAATAAATAATATTAATAAGTTAAAATTTGAAACTTTTAAAGGGATATTGTCAAATTTGGTGACCTAAATTTTACTCAAAATATTGAATCTTTCAAAAGTTATCTGCAAATAATTTCATTTGTATATGCTTCACACTCATGCCATGAGCCAGTATTGAAAATAAATATTGCTAAACAAAGTTACCATGATTAAAAAGACAAAATGTGGTTTTTTTTCTAATTAAAGCCAAATCATCTATTAGTACACCAAAGATGGCGTCTCAGTTTGTGAAGGCTAATAAGGAATGGTTAACCAGTAAAATACAGTTAATAGCTGTTCATTTATCAAATGAGTAAGTATAGCATAGCATAACTATTTTACTTCTAATGTGAGGACAAGACTACACCATGCCAGCACTTATCTTCATTCTTTTTTTTCCCCCATCTTTCGAAGAATTCAGGGTATTATAATGATGGGTTCATTGTACAAATAATTGATATTTTGGGGAAATATTTTTGGCCCCTTAAACCTTTAACTAGCTTACATCCACCTAAAGTATTTTGCTATCTATTTATATCAACGAAACAAATTGCTATAACCAACAGTCATTTCAGTGATAAATATGAACAGGGATGATATCATCAAAAACACGGATTTATGACAAGTCACAATAGTTGGTGTTGTTGTACCCATTTCACCATGCTAAAACATACTTTTTATACGCCCACATTTTCATGTGAAACTTCCAATCAATAGAAATAGGAAACACAAACTAAATACAAACGGTTTAATGGGATCAATTTTGACAGACTGCCATGGGAACTCTGTTTGTGACATATGCTAACATTTATATGTCATACTGGATGAAAACCTACTATGAACCATTACCTAATAAACCAGATATTTCATGCAGTTTCATCGATGATATTTGGGCTTTATCTTCTCTCCCACTAGAAGAATGTAAAAATTTTGTTTCAAAATTAAACCGACAACATCCAAAGATCAAATTTACTGTAGATATAAATAGCAACTCAGTTAATTTCCTAGATGTAAAAGTTGTCAAAGAAAAAGAAAAGTTAGAGACAAATCTATATTCCAAGAAAACAGATTGCCATCATTATCTTCCTCCATATTCCTGGTATATCAAGGTTGTGGACCCTCTAGAGGTCATAATTTTCATCCGATTTTGATGAAACTTGCAATGTTTAGCTTGTGGATTCTCTAGAGGTCACAATTTTTTTTTCCGAATTTAAAAACCATTTAGATATATTATTATTCGAATTTCAGGAAAATCAAAATGAAACTGCCCGACAAAATGGCCGTTCTTTGTTTGCAAATTGTGTATAAGTATTAAGTATGTAATACAAAGGTTATGGACCCTGTAGAGGTCACAATTTTTATCCGATTTTGATGAAACTGAAAACATAACTTTATATTCCAAAAATCTCAGTCCCTTTTGATATTTGCGCATTTCAGACCATAACTTATTGTACAAAAAAAATCAGATTTTGTTGTGTTGTTCATGTAAATGTTTTCATTACTGACAAAAAGAAAATATATATGTGACAACCTTTGCTGACTGCCCAGACGACTTAGCTGTTGTGGGCTGTATGTTTCATTGCCTGACAAGTGACAACCTGTCTTTAGTGTCTAGTAAAAGCTTTTAACTGACAAAATAAAAAATTGACTACCCTTGTTGACTTGCTGGATGACTTAGCTGCTGTGAGTGTATGCTCCGTTGCCTAGCAACCTATCTTTGTTAGAGGAAATATCAAGAGTTAAAAGTATCTTATGTTAAAAGAGAGATAATTGGATATTAAAGAGATTGCAATTTTAAAAAAATCAATCATGTTTTCTTAAAGTTGAAAAACATGATGTAGAATTGAATATACTGTTCAGGAAGGAAAGTAGGGATAACTCAATTACAATATTTGTTTGTTCCATTTTTTTTATTAAAAATAAATCAGTTGTTTGTATTGTATTATATGTTTTGCAGTTTATTTAGTGTACCTGATACAGATATATTAGAAGGAGCAACAAGTAATTTTGCAGATCATATATTTACAGCTACTGTAGCCAGTATACTTAATGATTCTAATGGTATCTATTTTGGCTATATTTCTTGATCTCATGATATTTAGCATAACTTATTACTTTACATGAATTTTATTATATTAATCTTACATTAAAACATCACAAAAATATTGGTTATTCAGAATGGGTATACAGTGGTGTGATCATTTTAAAGTATTGAAATGCTTGAAATGTGGTTTTATGTCAGATTGAATATACTTTAATGCATTTTCAGGCATTTATAAGTCGTTTATTCCTTGTATATATTATGTATGTTAGTCTTTTTGTTTTCTCTCACAACAGATTACATATCATTTCTTCAATTATCTTGTTGACTTCATCAATGTACACACAAAGATGTTTGGTGGAAGTCACATTTGGATGATTATTGAGAAAATATGCTGATGAGACTCCAAATTCTAAAATTCTGAATAAAAAAACAATATTTATTTTTGTGTTTAGGCTATGAAAATCTGGTGATGACATATAATTTAATCAAGAGAAACTGGACTTGGGTTGAAGAGCAACTGGATATCAAATTATCATTAAAAAATACTGAGCAAACCAAGACTACTGCTTTCCAGCTAGATCTGACACCAGTTAAAGATGAGAAGTTTATCCCACAGAAAGAGTTCATTCGTATTGGAGATTCTGAATTCAGTCAGGTAACTTTAAACTCAGATCATTAGTCAACACAAAGGTAAAATCTGTTGAACCTAAACTCTTAAAAGGGAAGTCTACAATTCTGACAGATACAGGACATAATATTTACTTTTATATCTCCTTTACGGGCTGTCGGAAAATGTGTGTGCTTTCTGTTTTACAAAATCACTACTTATACTCAAGAGCATTGTTTAAAAATTGTTGTTCATTTTAGTAATGAATGCATGGTTACTAGACCCAAACCATTCGATGGGTGTATCTTCTGTGTCAGTTGCTCAATTTAATTCATACACATTATTGTGTTCATTTCAGGAGGCTCTGATGTCTTTTCCATTTAACTGGAACCATATGTTACAGAGTGATCTCGGTCTTAGTGAAAATGGGTTTTCATCACTTTTGTATAACAGACATGAAATGCAAGATGGAGCCTATTTAGAGGAAAATGAAAAACGCCCTGTAGAGATTCTCAGATCGATATTTGAGAGGGATTCTTCTGATATGAATTGAACCATGTACTTCAAGATATGCATTTATCTCTCATTGTTGTTTATTTTCCCCATAGGTCACACAAATAATGAGTAGGGGAGTGGAGACAAAATTATTTATCTGATTTCTGTGTAGCAAGCAGCTTATCGAATCATAGTCTTGAAGTACAGTGGTATCAGTAACATGGACAAAAATTGCCGAATTTATTTAGAATTGGTCATTCTTGTATCAGTAATTGCCCCAACTGACCTTAATAACAAATAGTATTTATTGGCAAGTTGCCCAGGGGCAGAGTTATTTTTATATGCGCATGTATATCTACTTATCGTAAACACAGTTTTGACAATTTTGTAATGATTTCCTCATCTATTACAACACTGATTTTTTTGTGGTCTATGTGTATGTAAAATTAATTGGTTTGGTACTTAGCTTTTTTAAATCTTTAAGCTATTTTGCTTTGGCAGATTTATTCAGAATTATATAGATGTTATAAGAAATAAAATGGGGTTTAACATCTTACTTTTCTGCACCAACCAGGCTAATGAAGACAGTGTCTTTTAGAATCTTTTTACCCAATCACTTTTATGTTCAGTATATTGTCATGATGTGATGTTATTTAACTTATTTTTGTAAAGACTGGTTGGTTATGTTTGCAAAGGTTTTACCAATAATTTTTTTTTCTGTTCTTTTGGTGCCAAATACTCATATAAATTATTTTCTGCAAAATTTCTTTGTTTGTCTTTTCATTTTCAAAACATGTACCATTTACTTTTGATTTCTGATCAAAATTTCACATGTTATATAATGTGGTAAATAAAATCATTGAACACGAAAACCAGATCATTAGTAGTTCTATGAGATTTGTAACCGCTTGACACTGTGAATTATAAATACAGAGCATTAAATATTACTTTCATGATACTAGAATTAAAAGTAAATTAATGCTTTTGATAAAAACAAAACTATTATCTTTACAATTTTAAACTCCACTGTGTTGTAAGTTTTATGGATAGTTTTCCAAAAAATTCAACATAAGGTACACGCCCGTAATATTTTGACATAAACTCAATATTTCCTATTATACGATAATTTACAAGAAATAATCTTATTGTTGAAAAGCCTGTGCTTTATGTATGATTCAGTGGTGTAAAGAATTACATATAGCTTAAACTGATGAATTTTAAAAAAAAATGTAAAAGTTAAGAGGCCATAAAATGAAATTAAAATAGGTTATTACATTTTAAGACGTATCCACTTAGTTAATCAAAATGCAGACTTAACTTGACAAGTAATGAACAGTAATTGTATTCCATAGAATTGTTACCTGTATTCTCCAGTTCAATTACTAAATGCCATTGAAACAATATATACTCTTCAAAAAAAGTAGGGGATATTCAGAAACAATAAAAAAAACTGCGGAAATGCACTGCTGTTTTTATTAGAGGTAACCAGTGTATGTTAATAACAGGCCAATTGCCTACACATGAACATAAAAAGTTCATATGGGCGGCTTATCTGACGGCCCCATTTCACTCGCAAAGAGATATATTGTCAAAAGTGAAAATGGACGTTTTTGATTTTTGTCTTAATAATGAGTAATTGCTCCACCAATCCTCAGATATTCAGCAATTCATCGTGGCATGCTCCTAATCAACTGTCCATTCACGATTTGGGGCAATCTGACCCACTCCTCTTGCACTGCCACGGCCAATTTTTGCAGTGTTGTCGGTTGACGACGACGAACACGTCTCCCGATCAAATTAAACGTAACACACTAAAGCAAAGATACGCTAAACAGTAAATCTTATGCAAGAACTGATAGGAAAGCAAACATGGATAGGATAAACCAGCAAGCGGCAGTTTTCATCAACTCTTCCTTGAAGTGTCAAATTTGACAATGAACCCCTCCCACGTGTATGGCGCTATTGCGTGTCGCACATGCAGCTCAGTGGTTCTGTTGGGGAGATAAGTTCTTCATCTGTGAATATACTCTCAAAGCATGTCAAGTGTCCATGACTATTTATCATATCACAACCTGCATAGGTATTTGCATTTCAATATCCACTACTTTTTATGAAGAGTATATATAATTCTTCAATGTACATGGCTGGTTAATGTCATTGACTTTTAGGTAAATATGACACCTTAATTCTGTTGTAAATGAAGAAACCAAAATTGTAAAATCATTTAAGGAGATAATCTAAAATGTCTGGTAGAGCACATACAGGCAGATCATTATGTTGAGCAGGTGAGATTTAATTTTCACAATTTAAGAGACAAAACTGTTCAAACCATTTTTTTTGTTTGTATATTCAGATACCATGTTTTGTTTCCTCTGAAGCATTATATTATTATCATTGTGCAACCAATAACTGTTCAATTTTCTTTTTTATTATTTATTTATTTACACTAGTTAGTAATTTGATCATTTTGTAAAAGTGTCGAGACATTGCTGCTGTGTGGGCTTATTTCCAGGCTTTGCATAGCTATTTTTCATGAGACCAAGTGATCTACACCAGGTTCTTCACAATTTGGCTAGTTTATTTGCAGATGATACATACTGCACTAGGATGTAACAAACAGTCAGTCAGTTTGTGAGATACAACATCCCTCAACCATGACATGTCAAATCTCAATTCTGGGGCGAATAATTGGCTTTTAAATTTTAATCCAAACCGAACAAAAGTTGTTGTATTTAGTTCTAAAATATAACCTTACATGTATATCTATTGTTGGGATCTCAAGTCATTTTATACTTAAAACAGTTCAATCACTCAAATTATACAAATTATACATGACTATATAGAATAATCCTATTGAACATAATGTATTTAAGTGATGATGTGGATTGTTTTCTCTTCTTTTTTTTTATTGAAAGCTACTTTGATACGATTTATAGTTTATTTATTACCTCGTATGTATCTACGTATTTAAATTATACTATATTTATTGGTTTGCTGTCTTGCTTAAATTGTAATGACAATGATTATAAAGATATGTATGGAAAGGGCTACTTTCAGTTTTTGAAACTTGCACCTGATCCTTTTGATGTTTATCAATAAAATATGTTTAAATTAAACCAAGTAAGCCCCCCCCCCCACGTGACACCCGGGAAACCTCAGCAGGCTCCAGTACCCTACATCTACCCTCGGCTGTATCAACGGCGTTGCCCATGACCACGACTTTGAAGAATGCTTTATCATACAAAGATTTCATAGTATGAAGCTGCTTTTCTTTCATTCAAGTATCCGATTTTCTTTAGACAAGGAAAAGTTTGCACTGAAAATTCTACACACTCTTCGAACGACGCAATTGTTAGAACTTCTTTCTAAAAGCGGCAAGTTTACTTAAAGATGTGCACAAACTGGTGATTTGATGATATATTTGGACTAAATACATATTCAAAATAATTAATTTATCATAATTTTGCTTCAAATCCTTCTCAAAACATTGCAATTGTCAGGGAATAGCCGGCTATAAAAAATCGATCAAAAGAGGTCATGTTTGTGTCACGTGACACAACGAGTTCGCGGTCGGAGGAGAATTCATTGCATACACAAGACGATGTTGCCTTTATCGCTGACTATTTATTACAAATATCGCAGCCTAATTAAATTCTCGGATTCTCCACTGCCCGCGTCTTTTTCTGTGATTCTGTGTACATCAAGCGCTCAATCTCTGCGTGTAACCTGCGACGTCACGCGTGCACACTCCTAATCGTCGGGCTGTCGATTAGGGAAACCCGTACATTTTTTTCCTGTAGGCCCCTATGTGCTCCATGAGTGTTTTTCATGGAATCCATTATTTTTCTAGTAAGATTGGATATTTCTACTTTCCATATATACCAAAATTGCCATACTTTTATTGGAAATAACCACCCGATAAATACTTTTCTGGGAACGTAGTAAGTTTATCAACATGTAGGCCTACATCAAGCGCTCAATCTCCGTGTGTAACCTGCGACGTCCCGCGTGCACACTCCTAATCGTCGGGCTGTCGATTAGGGAAACCCGTACATTTTTTTCCTGTAGGCCCCTATGTGCTCCATGAGTGTTTTTCAGGGAATCCATTATTTTTCTAGTAAGATTGGATATTTCTACTTTCCATATATATAAAAATTGCCATACTTTTATTGGAAATAACCACCCGATAAATACTTTTCTGGGAACGTAGCTTTAATAGGTAAACCGGTGCCGCAGCGCAGTTGTATAGGCGTAGGTACATATCACTTGCTGTCATACAGCCAAGCCTAGATGTAGGGTACCGGAATCCGCCGAGGTTTGTCGAGTGCCCCCCGTGAGACAAATTCCCCTCAGGACCAGTCCCCAAAAAATTAAAAGCTCAGTTATATACCAGTTAAGCCCAGTACACATGCCAACATTTTCGGTCACATGTTGTCCAAATGTTGCCGAAATAAAGATGAGCAATTTTGTCGCCTTGATGCTAATAATGTTGCCGAGTTTTATCCAATCAGAAATGGGTCATAAATCACATGATCTACCTGGAGTCAAGCAAAGGTTGTTAAGTTGCCCAAGGACAGATCTTTATAATATCATTTCAAGCTCTGCACCTGGCATAATTATAGGGTCAGAGACACACACAGATAGCGATTTTCATAACGCAGAATTGTTACCACCAAACATTCCAGATGAACATAAATACCAAATTTTAATATTTAGGAAAGAACTGGAGGCGTAATGATCATGGTCCGTCCTGAATTACCAGCCGAGGAATGTTTAGATCCAGACTCAAATTGTGAAATAAAATGGGCCAAAGTAAAATTCCATGAAAAACTGAAATATAACGTATATATATAGTCAACATAACCATAAAAGCCTCAAGAGTTTTAGGATTCCTGAAACGTTATCTTAAACATTGCCCAAAAAGCGTGAAAGAACGTGCCTACCAAACAAATGTGGGCGTATCTTGTTTGGCACCCATTTAGGACAGAGATCTATTCTCGAGGGATGAAGTAGATTGATCTCTGGGTGCAGAATGATGTCAACTCTCACAAAACAGGCGGAATTGACAGACAGGCCTCGCGATTGTCCAATGTCTTATCCTTTTGTTCACGAGAATTTGCTCCCATTTGCCATGATATTGACTTAAATTTTCAGGCTCAGTCCCAATTCGAACTCAACCAACATTACGATGTAACAGTGATATATTCAAACGTTTTTTTTTTTAAATCGGATAATAATTGTGACCTCTAGAGGGACCATAAGCTAAAAACGCGATTTTTCGTAAAAGCAGGGGCCAAAATTCAGGAAGTTACGGTCCGATATGCACGAATATCGAAAGAAACCTAGATCATTGAGTTATATAAACATGCATTTCAAGTTTCATCAAAATCAGATGAAAATTGTGGCCTCTAGAGTATCCACAAGCTAAAAATGTGATTTTTCGTACAATCACGGGCCATAATCCATGAAGTTATCGTCCGATACATGCCAATATCGAAAAAAACCGAGATCTTTGGGAGATAGACCTATATTTCAAATTTCGTCAAATTGGATAAAAATTGTGACCTGTAGAGTGTCCACAAACGAACGGAGAGGGGCGGCGACAGTATATGTCCACATGAAAATATGGGTACCGGTATAAAAATTAGTATACTGTTTAGTAATGCGTTTCGACTTCGTTTCACACCTGTCATACACACAAAGACTAAATAAACTTTTTTTCAATTTTTTTTAAAATGAAAGCAATATAAACACTCAACAAAATTCACGAAGTATACTAAGTGTTTTTGACTACAATCGTCGATTTATGACTTAAAATGTCGGTCAACTAGCTCAGTATCTGTTCTCAACAGAGCTAACTGTAGACAGACAGCCTCTCTGTACACGCGGCCAACATTTTCGGAAACATCTCGGCAACACACCTGGGCAACACAAATTTAGCCCTGTATACACACTGCAACAGTTCGACAACATGTTCAACTTCAACTTTAGTGAAATACGCCACAAAATCCCCTGTTGCCTGTTGGACATGACGTGAAGGTGCTGGGTGAACTGTACATGCGTGAGGTCGGATGTTCCCCCTTAACGTGTATGTACACTATACATTTAATGACTCGGGTTACACACCCACAGTCGACTGTAATGCTTCCTTAAAGCTGTCGAGTGAGTTCAACTGGAGAACTTGGTCCGGTAAGCGGTTCCAATGAGCGATTACGCGTGGGAAAAATGAGTGTTGATATGCGTTAATTTTACAGTGGTATGGTATTAACTTTCTGCTGGGGCGAACTGATGGATCTGGTAGTATAGATGTTGGTACTACTACCAGCTTATGCATAACTTTGTACC